TTTAATTTTAAAATTTTAATATTAAGATATTTGTGGTATTAACATTTGACATTTTGAACTATAATTTTTATATAGAATGTGAAATAATGTTATGAGCCTATGCTTTCTCAAAATATTTTTTAAAAACTATGTGGTGATTTTAAACTCAGACATGCATATTAAAATAATGTGGTGATCCTTTTTGTAACATATGGAATGCATATATCTCTAAGAAATAGAAAAGAAACACCCATGAGCAAGCGAATGAATTGGTAGAAAATTCTTCCAACTTAATTAGAGGTCTTGGTTTTAAGTGCTGAAAATGCAACTTCATTAAAACTTATGAGAGAGAATTTTGCCGCCCATTGGGTTTTATCCGACTCGAATCCGAATTAATCTGTGGCCTAGTGAGCTTTCGATACTGAGTGATCCATACCAAAAATAAATAAATAAATAAATAAGAGACAATGTAAAGAGCATACCCTCCTCTACCCAAAAGTCTAGTGCAACCCAAAAGAAAAAAAAAAGCCCATAAAAAATTCGTCTAGTACAACCTAAAAGAAAAAAAACCATAAAAAATCCATATCTTGGAGTTTCAATAATTTGCAAAGAATTTAATTTCATCCATATAAAAACTTTGTTAATGAATCATACCCTATATCATCACCATAATGACAAAGTGTCATAAAAGCCTTTTACTAGTATAATAGGTCAAAACATGCACCTCAATAGGTGTTCAACTCCTCTATAGAAAAAGGTTAAAGTATACTCCTCATAATAAGTATGTAGTTTTGTTATTTAAATATGTAGTCTAATTATGAAAAGGGATAAAAATGAGGCTTCCAAAACAAATCCGCAGAAACTGCTTTTAAGAAAGATTGATCAAGTCAAAGAGAAAAAATTGAACACCTATTTAATCAACTAACCTCCAACTACTTTGCTTTAATCCATTTATTAGCAACAATTGTTCTCTTTCACTTAAGTTGATTTACTTTGCTTCGTTCCTTTCTATTAAAAATCAAACGTGTTAAATTTACATCATTCTTCCAAGTTCATTTTTCATTACATTAAGAGAAATTAAAAAAAAAGAGAGAGAGAGAGAGAGAAGGTAATTTTGTTTATTTATTTATTAACAAAGTTTTGTTGTAAAAATAATAGGATTTATTTATTGTGATCATATTTTTCCCCAACTTTTTTTTTCTTAGTAGATAGATTTAGATTCACGATAGGAGCAAGAAAATAGTGATGAGGATAAGATGGAGGAAGAAGTTATACAACAAAGAGAGAGGGAAGTGGAAGCTAGACAAAAAAAAAGAAAAGAAAAGAAAATTTGTTTTTTCTCTTATTTCACTAAATAATTCAATGTTCTCAAGATATATTTTAAAATATCTTAATAAACAAAAAACAAGAGTTTCTAGACTTTTAGGTTGGCAATGGATACAAGAGACATTGACAACTTCAAGTGAGAATTATAGAATATTTGGAATGGAATCACATGTTTTTAGGGGAATATGTTTTTTGTTGGTTGGTGATTATGGTATAACATTAGCAAGGGAAATATATGCTGAAGAAGCATGTGCAATGTTTCTTTGGACATGTGCACATAATGAATTTAATTGAAATGTGCAAAATCATTTTGAATATTTAGGAGAAATAGTAAGTAAAAAATTTGGTGAGGTTATTGATGCACTGGTGAGATTTTCAGTTGATATTGTGAAATAATCTTATTATAATTTTATTGAAACTCCAAAGAAGATTTAGGAAGGCGATAGGTTTTGGTCTCATTTTAAAGGATGTATTGGTGTAATTGATGGTATGCATATTAAAGTCATGATCCCAATTAAAGATCAAGTACAATTCAGAGGTTGAAAAGGCACCACTAGTCAAAATGTGATGAAAGTTTGCAATTTTGACATGATATTTACATTTACAGTTACAAGATAACTTAGATCTACTCATGATATACACATTTTCAGTAATATATTGAAAAAGTATAAAAATGTATTCCCTCATCTCCTAATGGTAATGACTTTTCATTTATTTTATATTTTAATAACAAATGCATATTTTTTTAATGAATTTTTAAGTATATTTTCACTTTTTATTATTAATAACTTTTTTATATAATTAAGGAAAATATTATATTGTTGATGCTAGTTATTCAAATATAAAAGGATATTTGACACTTTATAAATGAGAAAGTATCACATTTCTGATTTTAGACATGGGAGTCAACCAACCAATGGATTATTAAGAAGTATTCAACCATGCTCATGCTTATCTTAGAAATGACATTGAACACATATTGAGGTTTGAAAAAATAAATTTGAAATATTATCCAACGTGCGAAATTATTCATTCACAACAACATAAAAGAAGATAATAGTTGTAATTATTGTGCTTCATAATTATATTATATAGCAAGCAATTAAGGATAAGAAATTTGATAAATGTGACTGTAACCCAAATTATATGCCTAAAGTACTTGGAGAAGAGAACAAAAATTAAAGAATTTCCCAAAATAATCTTACTTATACAACGAAGGATCATAATATGACTTCATTTTGAAATTCTATAACTCTATCTTTAATGGAAAGTCAATTAAGATAACTATTATTGTCAATTTTTATTTTTATTCTCTTATTTATAAAATTTAAATGTAACATGTTTTATTTTTTAATATTAAAATATAAGCATTTATCTATCTATTGGTATTAAAATTATTAATTACTAGCATTTATATTTTATAAATATAAAAATTCTATTTTTAATCA